CCCCAAAACCCCAAAACCCCAAAACCCCAAAACCCCAAATTGTTAAAATTTTCCAAATTAAGAGAAAGTGTAAGTTATTATAAAAATTTAAAATCACTTTAATGGCTTCATATAATCACATGAATGAAGTTGAATAGTCAGTTATAGACGAGGATGAGTTATAACGTCAGTTGGAGGAGGAATTAGCCAATATGAATTATTAGCCAGACCCTGATGACTTACTTGAACGGCAATCAAACTATTCAATCTTTAACTAATCAACTACAAATTTCAATGCGATAGATGCTTCAATGAATAATGTAGATGATTATGTAGAAAAAATGCTGCAAAAGGAAAGAGATAACAACAAAAAATGAGACATAGAGTTTAGAGAGACAAATTAGGCTTGGAAAGAATTCCTAACCAAGTAATAAAGAGAGGTTAACGAGGTAATACCAGAGAATTGGGAAGATGAATTGCAAGATTTAAAGAACTTAAACAAAGAAAAGTTGCAAATCGTTAAAGCTCCTAAAACCAAAACACCTTCCAAAATAAAGGTAAATAATTTCCAGACTGAGTAAACAGAAGTGGAGTAAATATATGAAGATATTGAGGTAGAAATTGAGAACAAACCTTACTTAATGCCTTAGTTGATTCTCTCAGATGATTTGCTGATATAAAGTTATATGAATTAGCAATAGCAGGAAAAACTAGAAAATCAAATACTAAGAAGTTCAGAAAAATTGAACAATGATAAGATAAATATTAGCATAAGCTAGAGCTTTGGTAAATTTGATATGGAAGCTGAGGAGATAATTGGTAAGAAATAGGATATGCTTGATAGAATAAATATCGTTAGTTAGGGAATTAAACAGATGCAAGAATATGAACAGGAAATGGATAGGCTATTTATGGAAAGAGAGGACAAATTATCGAGAGAGATTGAAGAATATAGTCACAAACTAAAGTTTATTTAAAAAGACATGCATCCTCCCTTGCTTCCACCTTATTTAACAGAATCTGATAATCCCTTGAAAAATAAGCCAGTGCAAAAGACTCCTATGCCTAACGCACCAATGACTGATAATTTTGTTAAATATCGAATAAATTTTTAAAGCTCTCTACCAAATAAAATCAATCTATCTTCTGTTAAAATCCTATGGAGTATTGAGAAATAATAAGAAGAAGAAGAAAAAAATAGGTTAGAAGAATAAAGAATTTAAAGAGAAAAAAATCACATGAAATTAACAGATCTATTGAAATTTTCAAAGGATATTTAAAACAAATAACATAGCAAAAAGTAAAATTAAAATCAACAATAACCTGATTAATTGTTGAAACTCATCTAATCAAATAAATAGATGGTTAAATCTGATTTACAAAATATTAAGGAGAAGGAAATCTAATTAAATGTTAGTATAGTCGGTAAAGATCCAAAATACTACGAATCATCCGATAACATATTCAAATTCCACCAATTAAAATATCATCAAGAATTGAGTTCAAATCTGATCAAAATTATACCATCACTAGAAAAGTCAATGCCAAGTCTAAAAGAGTCATAAGATCGTAAGCCTAAAGTAAGCAAGGATCCCAAAGCTAAATTAAAAAGGAGAAACGGTGAAAACTTTATGGACTTACCAGATATGAACTAAGATGATTCGTAATTATCACAGGCTTTGGCATTACATGCTTCAGATCCTATTAGGACAGAGAAAATTGAAATAAAAAATGAGTAATTTACAAATCTAGAGCTACATCCATTCAAAAATTACAAAAATTTAATGCAATTAAATCTCTCAATGAATAAAATCGTAACTATTCAAGGAGAAATTGATTGCCCTTTCTTGAATACTCTTAAATTATCTGATAACATCATTAAGGATATTCCTACTTAATTATTCACAAAATGCAAAAATCTAAAAACCTTACACATGGATATCAATAAACTTGGGAAACTTCAAAATCTCTAACATCTTTCAATGTTGGAAGAATTAAACGTATCTAATAATTAAATACAATCATTAGATGGAATTTAGAATCTCATCAATCTAAGAAGACTTAACTTCTCATTTAATAAACTCACTAGCATTGAGACTCATTTGAATAACCTAACTTTAATAGAATACATAGAACTGGGTAAAAATTTCATCTCAAATATAGATAAATTTCCTTCACATAAACTACTCTTTCTGAATGAACTATATTTGTATTCTAACCAGCTTGTGCAAGTGCCCAAGAGCTTTAGCATGCCTTAATTAAAAATACTGAACCTAAACAGAAATCAAGATTTGCATTAATTAAGTATAGGATATTGTCCTCTCTTAGAATAGATAAGTGCCTCTTACTGTTCACTAGTGCAGATAAAATAACTTACAGGATGTCCAAGTTTAAGAGAACTTGACATCTCATTTAATTCAATTAATAGCTTAGAAGCATTTATATAGATGATAAGAAATAATATAAATCTAAGAATGATCAGATTCAGTGATAATCCTTTCTCAATCAATAAAGATAACTAGTTTTCTGATATCTTTAAAAGGAAGTTTGTATTCCTTGAGAGAGTTAATGGTGAGAATGTAAATTAACAATCTTAGTCATAAAATGATTCAAATCAATTAAATGAATCAACTAACTGGAAAAGACTAGATCAAAATAACAATAGTGCTACAATGTTAAGGCAATTTATCACTAAAATTATGAGTTAAAAGATAAGAGTTACATTTTTTTCGACAACATTCATTCTGAGATATATGAAGAACATGCTACCCTTGATAATGCTGAAAAGTCTAACAAGCAATCCGAAGTCTAGCTATCTCTAGCAGCATGATATAATGTTACTCTATGAAAATCATATTTACGTTCAAAATCTTAGGAAATCAGTGAGAATCATAACTTCATATATAAGAAAGAGAAAGTTTAAAAGGAAAGCATTAATCAAGAAAATGTAGAGTCATATTGGTAAAATCTGTAAGATTTAAGCTCTAATTAGAGGTCATTTGGCAAGATAGAAGAACTAAGCAATTATAGCTAGGGTAAAAAGAGATGGGCCGAAAAAGACCAAGAAATATCAATAAATTTCTAAACTCTAAGCCAACATCAAAGGTTTTCTGTTTAGGAAAAGAAGAATAAAGGCCCTCAGTAAATTAAAGGAAAGCAAGCTGTCCTATGAAGATGATTTTGAAGAGTTTGATGCAGATAAATTCTTTGGCATAAAAGAGGAAGTGTTATAGAATGGATTATCTTTGCCTTAAGAGTAGATGATGCAATAAATGATTCAAATGATGGCTATGTAATCATAGCAAGTAAGACAAATGAAATAACCTATAACTTAACATACAATTAATGATAGTTCAGGTGTCAAGTTTCCACCAATTAACCAGAAAAATGCTACTTAAACTAATATAAATGAACTGATTAAGCCAAAGACAATGAGAAATAAAGGCCTCAATCGTCCACCTTCAGCTGGTTCATCAAATGCTATCTCAGAAATAGACATGAATAGCGATTCTAAGTCACTTCAAAATAAAGCTAATATTCTTATGAGAAAGAATAACTTGATGAATCAGACCAATCAATTTGACAATCCTCATCATATGCCAAGTATAAGTAACGGTAATTAGTCAAGATTTGATGATTAATCTGAAAGATAGTCTATGTATTCAATGAACACCAATCCTTTTTATCCAACTTAAGCCTAGGCTTATAGATAGAAAGTTATAGAGGAGAAAAAGCGTGATTTTGTTAAGTAATAAGAGGTTATAGATGAATGGGGCTTTTAAAATGAAGAAACTAAGAAGATGTTTGAAGCTAGAATGAAGAAGAAAAATCATGGCAAGAAGAAGTAACTTACTGCCGATGAGAAATTATAAAAGTTTAGAGCTATAAATAAGAAATGAGATTCATTGCTAGGATGACATAATGAGGAAAAAGAGCGATTATAGGAATTAAGAAGATAAAGTTTGCTAATAATATATTATGCATTAATTGTAGTTTAATAGATTTTATTTATAAACTAAAATAATGTCTTCCCCACCTCCATTGAAAAATCCTTAGCAAAGAAATATTTAACTCTCGCAGCTTCGATAACTAAATGTCTCATTGAATCGGGAATCTCCAATAAATCAATCATTTTAATATCAGAAAAATGTAAGGTATGTAGGATTAATGCCTGAATAGAGTGGAGTTAACAGCATTAAAGATCGTATTAATCATAATTAACAGCAACAGTTTTATCAGAATTCTAATTCTCAAAATGGTAACGTGAGTAGGAATATGGGCTAAAATAATAACAAATTCGTTGCAGTTTATAATTCAGGACCGAATGTCCCAATGAATATAGGGAAGACTATGCCCCAAACTCAAAGGTCTATCAATTTGAGAAGTAAAGGAAACAACATTAACAATTAATCCTCTTAAAACTAAAATTCTGCTAATAATAGTGCTAATTTAACCGGATCTAAGATAAGTCGATCTTTTAATTTTGATTTGGTGAACAGCACTAGACCTAACTTGCCTTACAGCATGATTGAGCATCCTTAGAAAAATGGATGCGATGCAGTTTACGCTTGTGGGCCGCTTAGCAGACAAAGATACATAAATCCAAAATTGGAAAAAGAACTTGTCGATTTCAAAAAGGAAGTTGAAGATAAATTTTCAAAGTCGCTTTTATCTACCTTCGCATATCCTAGAATTTCCCTTCCTCATGATTCTTAAGATGATTTAACTTTGATCAATATTGATCATAACAATGACCTTAGCTAATTCTTATCAGAGGCTGAGGTAAATTATTCCAAGGCTTAGAGAGCACCAAAGACTGTTAGAAAACTTTTGGATCATACAAGTTTTCTTAACTATTAGACTGAAGGACTAGGCAGTGCTAACTCTAACATGCAACCCTCCATCAATATGTCTATAAATTATGAGTAAATGCATGAAAATGGAGGAAATAACAGTAATCTCGGATCAATTCCAATTCTTAAAAAGAATTAGAAATACGATTAGCAACTAGAAAATATACTGAAAAATTCAGGGGTAATGGAGAAAACAGCTATTTTAAGAAAATTGGAAAATCACAACAATCAAAATCATTCTAGATTTAAAGATGGAAACAGTAGCTTTAAAATGCCTGATTTAATTAACAATAACATGAATAGAAGTAGATATTAAGAAAATGATTCATAGCTGCATGGCTCTAGTAAAGATAGATCATCTAAAGTGAAAACTCATAGATATCCCTAGAACATTCCACCTGTAAATCATAAGATGAGTAACATCATTAATGTAAACAATCCCTAAGTTATTATTCAATCCCCTCAAAATAATACTATTATCCTAGTTGATGGTGCTAGCATGAAGGATTCTAATAGCAGAAATATTATCAATCAATTGGAAAAGAGTGGCCTTATCTCAGGCAAGTACGAAAATCACTCTAAAGATAACCACATTAACAAAAGGTAAGTTAAGATTTATCTAATTTTGATAGTTTTAACGGTGATAGCTTGACAAGTTTTAGAAACTTGCAGCAATCCAGAATCTTCGACAACTATGTGAAAAATCAGAAAATACTTAATAACAGTATGAACCCCACAGTAAACCTAGTAAATAATAACATCAGCTAAAATGCTTCATCAAGGAATCAAATGAATGTTTCAACCACAAAAAACAGAGCAAAGTATGAGACTAATAACAGATCTATGGCTAGAAACTACTAGTATTCTGTGGCTGAGAAGGATTAAGTTTCTAAATCTTTTATTTTCCCACCCTCTTCTCTTGGTAAAAAGTAGCTTTGATCTATTATAATGAACGAATATTAATAACCTTTAGAACTTTGGAATTATTAGGCAATGAACTATGTATTTATTAAAATTATTTTAGGATACATTGATAATGAAACTAAACTATAAATATTGATTTTGAATGTTGTCTTCAGGGGTTTTGGGGTTTTGGGGTTTTGGGG